ACATACTTATGCAAAGGAGTATGTGTATGTGAGTGTTAGTGTTAGTGTGTGCGTGTGCGTGTGCGTGTGCGTATATATATATATATATATATATATATATATATATATATATATATATATATATATATATATATATATATATAAAGCACACTCAGATATCAACCAGCCATGTAATAGGTGGTCAAAATCATGTGCTAAACTATAACAACTGTAGAGTCTATACTTGTACAACCTTCATAGCACTCATGATTTCAAAATTCAAAATCTTTTTCTATTAGAAACGTACATACTATGTGAGCATTTTTGGGAACTACAACCAATGTATAAAACAATATGAAAGAAACCTGAAAAAAAGTTATACACTTCCTTTTAAACGTTAGGTCTACAATCTCCAAATAACAGATTTTAATAATTCTGAAAATCTGCAATAATTACAGCAATAAAATGGCAATAACAGAACAGATGAGAATCTTGAGCATTCAATCTTCACCTATATAATGACCAATTTGCATAACTGAAACTAATATTTTGTCCTTCACTATGGCATTGCTATCACTGGTTGAATAGTCTCTCTATCTGCTTGATACTGTTTTATTAAAGCAAATGCATAATGCATCCATTATCTACACATCTATACATGTATAAATGGTACCCCTTTCTCTGAGGATTCTATGGGAATATTAATTCACAACCTTCAGGAATGTGCTACTAATGTTTCCTGATACTCTTTACAGGATAAAATACAAACAAAGAAAAAAGAACAGAAAAGAAAAATATACGTATATGATATAATATGAGAACACACATATGGAAGGAAAGCACAAAAAAATAGAAACTCTTATTCCAAACTATATATGATTTTTAAATATCAAACCGCTTTACATGGAAAACTGCATTGTTTCTTTCTTAACCAGCATCTGGCCTGAATCATACAGTAGACTTGATCTAGGTATTCCTTACTGACCATTATGATGTAGAGGAGTAAAGGAGACAATATAATGACTGACTACTTTAAACTGTCTGCTGCTTCAGCATGTAGTCATTTGCCAAACATAATAAGGAATCTTATTTGCTTCCACAAGATGATAAGTGGGTGCCAATGGCTTATATATATGGTCCTGTTTAAGTTTTTACTATGTAAACTGTAGTGAAGGTATAAAAGAGGATTAATAATTCACAATAAAAGGAATAATTGATGTTTTGATATTACATTTTTTATCAAATTGCATATCTGATGAAAATGCAAATCAAATATTAATTATGCATATCCTGCATTATGAAATTACCCATTCTCAATAATATTTGTTCTACATTTTCATTTTGGTGAGTAATGGTAAATTACCCTTTTGCATGCTGACACAGAAAATGTGATGAAATTACAAGAATAAAAAATAAAAGAAATACAATGGGAGTATTGACAACGAAATAATAATAAGATACATAAATACAAAATAAAAAATAAAATGAAGATCCTTGTTTCCATTTACTAAAATTATCTATTGACCTGGATGCTAGAGATAACAAACTGCCTGAATTACTACTTAGACCAGGCAGTGGTAGCTTTAACTACTAGGAAAAAATCAATGCCTTTTCTGTAAAATCATAAAATCATAAAACGATGCACTCAATAAACTTATAATAATAAGAACAATTACGCAAAAAGGTGAATATCAATTAATAAGCTGGTTTTACATGAAAATATAGTGAAAAAGTTCATATTATGCAATAATATGGTTTAATATAAAGGAAATGAAAGCTGATAAATGAGACCACACAGGTGGAAAATACAAATAAGTTGATATTAGGTGAGGTTATGATTAGAAAAGACAAAAATAATGATACAACCGATACTATAAAGGACTATGAAACAAAATGCTATAAAAATAGCTCCAGTTATATAACAGCATTTCCTCAACTGCATATACACATACAATTTTTACCTCAGGCCAGATGAGGGTCATACTATCAGGATAAGGAAAGAATGAAATATAAGATATGAGAGATTCCTAGCTTGAGAACTTTTCATGGCTCTTCTACATGTATAAAGTATACAACAGAAAGCTAAATCACATTTCCTTGTTTAAATACTAATAAAATTATACTTATATAAAACATATCCATTGTACATAAAAAATACAGATGCACACAAACAATGATATACTTGGACATTATGAAATAGTCAATAGTCTTATTAAAATACAGGACTGGTTAACCCAATGCAGCCAGGTATGGCATGCAAGTACTTGCCAAGCTGACTGTGAGTTTAGTATATTATTTGTCTTTACACATAGATGGTTCCACAAAACCTTAAGTGACCATTGAGCCAATTACTAGTACTCCTTACTTCAACTATTTACCTTTTCCTTTATTTCAGAAACATTTAATTCACTCTTATAATGCTGCTGGTAATATTAATAACATCGTAATAACTATAATGTCTATAATAATAGCAGCAGCATCAATATTAGTAGCATAAGTAAAAAGAAAGAAAGAAAGAAAG